CCTCAGGATGATTTCAATGTAGCTTCAATAGTTTCGCAGCTGCAAAATTGTGTGACTTAGATTTCTATTAAAATTTCACACTTTGTGTCATAACTTTGTTAATTTTGATCCGATCTTGATGTAATTAGGCTTAAATTGAAGCCAATCAAATTCTCTACAAACCTCCTCTGGATAATTTCAATGTAGCTTCAATAGTTTCGCAGCTGCAAAATTGTGTGACTTAGATTCATATCCAAATGACACACTTTGTGTTATAACTTTGGCTAATTTTGATCCGATCTTAATGTAATTAGGCTTAAATTGAAGCCAATCAAATTCTCTACAAATCTCCTCAGAATGATTTCAATGTAGCTTCAATAGTTTCGCAGCTGCAAAATTGTGTAACTTAGATTTCTATCAAAATGACACACTTTGTGTCATAACTTTGTTAATTTTGATCCGATCTTGATGTAATAAGGCTTAAATTGAAGCCAATCAAATTCTCTACAAACTTTTTCTGGATAATTTCAATGTAGCTTCAATAGTTTCGCAGCTGCAAAATTGTGTAACTTAGATTTCTATCAAAATGACACATTTTGTGTCATAACTTTCTCAATTTTGATCCGATCTAGATGTAATTAGGCTTAAATTGAAGCCAATCAAATTCTCTACAAACCTCCTCTGGATAATTTCAATGTAGCTTTAATAGTTTCGCAGCTGAAAAATTGCGTGACTTAGATTTCTATCAAAATGACACACTTTGTGTCATAACTTTGTTAATTTTCATCCGATCTTGATGTAATTAGGCTTAAATTGAAGCCAATCAAATTCTCTACAAACCTCCTCTGGATAATTTCAATGTAGCTTTAATAGTTTCGCAGCTGAAAAATTGTGTAACTTAGATTTCTATCAAAATGACACACTTTGTGTCATAACTTTGTTAATTTTGATCCGATCTTGATGTAATAAGGCTTAAATTGAAGCCAATCAAATTCTCTACAAACTTTTTCTGGATAATTTCAATGTAGCTTCAATAGTTTCGCAGCTGCAAAATTGTGTAACTTAGATTTCTATCAAAATGACACATTTTGTGTCATAACTTTCTCAATTTTGATCCGATCTAGATGTAATTAGGCTTAAATTGAAGCCAATCAAATTCTCTACAAACCTCCTCTGGATAATTTCAATGTAGCTTCAATAGTTTCGCAGCTGCAAAATTGTGTGACTTAGATTCATATCCAAATGACACACTTTGTGTTATAACTTTGTTAATTTTGATCCGATCTTAATGTAATTAGGCTTAAATTGAAGCCAATCAAATTCTCTACAAACTTTTTCTGGATAATTTCAATGTAGCTTCAATAGTTTCGCAGCTGCAAAATTGTGTAACTTAGATTTCTATCAAAATGACACATTTTGTGTCATAACTTTCTCAATTTTGATCCGATCTAGATGTAATTAGGCTTAAATTGAAGCCAATCAAATTCTCTACAAACCTCCTCTGGATAATTTCAATGTAGCTTTAATAGTTTCGCAGCTGAAAAATTGCGTGACTTAGATTTCTATCAAAATGACACACTTTGTGTCATAACTTTGTTAATTTTCATCCGATCTTGATGTAATTAGGCTTAAATTGAAGCCAATCAAATTCTCTACAAACCTCCTCTGGATAATTTCAATGTAGCTTTAATAGTTTCGCAGCTGAAAAATTGTGTGACTTAGATTTCTATCAAAATGACACCCTTTGTGTCATAACTTTGTTAATTTTGATCCGATCTTGATGTAATTAGGCTTAAATTGAAGCCAATCAAATTCTCTACAAACCTCCTGTGGATGATTTCAATGTAGCTTCAATAGTTTCGGAGCTGCAAAATTGTGTGACTTAGATTTCTATCAAAATAACACACTTTCTGTCATAACTTTGTTAATTTTGATCCGATCTTGATGTAATTAGGCTTAAATTGAAGCCAATCAAATTCTCTACAAACTTTTTCTGGATAATTTCAATGTAGCTTCAATAGTTTCGCAGCTGCAAAATTGTGTAACTTAGATTTCTATCAAAATGACACATTTTGTGTCATAACTTTCTCAATTTTGATCCGATCTAGATGTAATTAGGCTTAAATTGAAGCCAATCAAATTCTCTACAAACCTCCTCTGGATAATTTCAATGTAGCTTTAATAGTTTCGCAGCTGAAAAATTGCGTGACTTAGATTTCTATCAAAATGACACACTTTGTGTCATAACTTTGTTAATTTTCATCCGATCTTGATGTAATTAGGCTTAAATTGAAGCCAATCAAATTCTCTACAAACCTCCTGTGGATGATTTCAATGTAGCTTCAATAGTTTCGGAGCTGCAAAATTGTGTGACTTAGATTTCTATCAAAATAACACACTTTCTGTCATAACTTTGTTAATTTTGATCCGATCTTGATGTAATAAGGCTTAAATTGAAGCCAATCAAATTCTCTACAAACTTTTTCTGGATAATTTCAATGTAGCTTCAATAGTTTCGCAGCTGCAAAATTGTGTAACTTAGATTTCTATCAAAATGACACATTTTGTGTCATAACTTTCTCAATTTTGATCCGATCTAGATGTAATTAGGCTTAAATTGAAGCCAATCAAATTCTCTACAAACCTCCTCTGGATAATTTCAATGTAGCTTTAATAGTTTCGCAGCTGAAAAATTGTGTGACTTAGATTTCTATCAAAATGACACACTTTGTGTCATAACTTTGTTAATTTTGATCCGATCTTGATGTAATTAGGCTTAAATTGAAGCCAATCAAATTCTCTACAAACTTCCTCTGGGTAATTTCAATGTAGCTTCAATAGTTTCGCAGCTGCAAAATTGTGACTTGGATTTCTATCAAAATAACACACTTTGTGTCATAACTTTGTTAATTTTGATCCGATCTTGATGTAATTAGGCTTAAATTGAAGCCAATCAAATTCTCTACAAACTTCCTCTGGGTAATTTCAATGTAGCTTCAATAGTTTCGCAGCTGCAAAATTGTGTGACTTAGATTTCTATCAAAATGACACACTTTGTGTCATAACTTTGTTAATTTTGATCCGATCTTGATGTAATTAGGCTTAAATTGAAGCCAATCAAATTCTCTACAAACCTCCTCTGGATAATTTCAATGTAGCTTCAATAGTTTCGCAGCTGCAAAATTGTGTGACTTAGATTCATATCCAAATGACACACTTTGTGTTATAACTTTGTTAATTTTGATCCGATCTTAATGTAATTAGGCTTAAATTGAAGCCAATCAAATTCTCTACAAATCTCCTCAGAATGATTTCAATGTAGCTTCAATAGTTTCGCAGCTGCAAAATTGTGTAACTTAGATTTCTATCAAAATGACACACTTTGTGTCATAACTTTGTTAATTTTGATCCGATCTTGATGTAATAAGGCTTAAATTGAAGCCAATCAAATTCTCTACAAACTTTTTCTGGATAATTTCAATGTAGCTTCAATAGTTTCGGAGCTGCAAAATTGTGTGACTTAGATTTCTATCAAAATAACACACTTTCTGTCATAACTTTGTTAATTTTGATCCGATCTTGATGTAATTAGGCTTAAATTGAAGCCAATCAAATTCTCTACAAACCTCCTCTGGATAATTTCAATGTAGCTTTAATAGTTTCGCAGCTGAAAAATTGTGTGACTTAGATTTCTATCAAAATGACACACTTTGTGTCATAACTTTGTTAATTTTGATCCGATCTTGATGTAATTAGGCTTAAATTGAAGCCAATCAAATTCTCTACAAACCTCCTCTGGATAATTTCAATGTAGCTTCAATAGTTTCGCAGCTGCAAAATTGTGTGACTTAGATTTCTATCAATTTGACACACTTTGTGTCATAACTTTGCTAATTTTGATCCGATCTTGATGTAATTAGGCTTAAATTGAAGCCAATCAAATTCTCTACAAACCTCCTCTGGATAATTTCAATGTAGCTTCAATAGTTTCGCAGCTGCAAAATTGTGTGACTTGGATTTCTATCAAAATGACACACTTTGTGTCATAACTTTGTTAATTTTGATCCAATCTTGATGTAATTAGGCTTAAATTGAAGCCAATCAAATTCTCTATAAACTTCCTTTGAATGATTTCAATGTAGCTTCAATAGTTTCGCAGCTGCAAAATTGTGTGACTCAAATTTCTATCAAAATGACACACTTTGTGTCATAACTTTGTTATTTTTGATCCGATTCTAATGTAATTAGGCTTAAATTAAAGCTAATTGAATTCTCTACAAAGTTCAATGTAGCTTCAAACTCAAGAGCCTGGAAGAGATAAAAATTGACAAAGAAAATTAAATTTTTCATAAGGAATAGCCTTTACATATCCTCAAGTGGAAAAAAATATTGACATCCATGCTGTTTTTACTATTGTAAAACATGGCTTGGCATCAATTTTTTTTCCAGTTTTCAGTAGAATGCGTTCCAATTGACCAGTTTACTTAATCATCCTAATATTTAGGTATTTTTAATTCCCTTCAAATTCCACAAATAATTCCTTTCTAAATTACGTAGGTATTGAGGCCTCAAAATCAAGGCTGATTTTTCTCAAAAATAATTCCTAACCTTAAAAATAATTTTAGGTATATTCGGCATCCTCAAACAACTACTGCACCTTTCCGCCCGCGTCCGCCAAACCGAAGAGGAACGCTTAGAGGAAAACCTCCGACAATCTCCCACCCAAACTCTCCTAAACTGCTTTATGCTTGGCTGGTTCATCATAGGTTCAGTTTGGGTGTACAAAGAGTACGAACCCAACTACGATCCCTCTACAGGCAAATATTGCAACCAAAATCTTTATTTGTTTGCTTTTTGGCTTATTACTTCTGTGTACATTATTTTAGGGGCCATAACTTTGTGCTTGTGCTCCATTAGTGTTGCTACTGTGGTGTTTCATAATGACAGGAGGGAAGATGCCACCAGTGGCAGGATTTGGTAGCTCATATATATATATATATATGACAATCTGTGATAAGGTTTAATCTCTATTGTAAAAAAAAATAATCTATTAAATATCTAGCTTATTGCAATGTTGTTGTGCTTCTTTTCATTTTGAAATGGTCCGAAGTGTAAATGGTTGCTACATTTGAGGCATTGAAAAACTACAAAAAAATAATTATTGTAGTTGTGTGTAGCTACAATTTACAAAAAAAAATACTTACAAACATTACAATAAATAATTGACAAAGGGCTACAGCAATGTTTCTATGCCAAGCTACATCTGCTTGGATGCTGCTCAGGCAACCATTTGATTGTTTGTTGCCTAAAATGCCCTGACATTTAAATTTTTGATGTATCAAATCAATTGTTGCATTATCTGTTTTGGTTAAAGTGAAATTCAATTCTTGTGTGGGTATTGTTGAAATTAAATGCCTTGTTTCATTAGAATAATTTAATTTGTAGCTTGTACCCATTACAAGGGCTGTTATAAGCAACGTGCTAGCGATTATTTGAATGGCGAATAACTACAAAATATAATAATATATTGTCTATTCATAATTTGTAGTCCAAAAGTAGGTACAGGTAAAATTTATCACCTTTCAATATGCTATTTGATAGGGAAAGGTGATAAATTTACCTGTACTTTTGGACAAATATATACAAATTCTTACCCATATAAGATAGCTCAACTTATGGTGTTTGGTCAAAAGAGTGAAAGCAATAGTTGGCAGTGACAAAAGGCTTACAGGAATCAAAAAAAATGTATAGTCCAAAAGAATTTCCATTAATAATGTGTGACTGGAGATTTTTCTGTAAAATGTCCATAGCGTCATTGACAATAGAAATAGGCTTACGATCTGCAAAATAAAAAGTAACTTATTATAGATTTTTATAAGTAAATTCATACTATTAAGAGTATTGTATTAAAATTGACCAAAAAATCTCTCACTGACACAACAGGGGTAAATTTACATTGTTTTACCCGACGACTTTTAACACTTTGGCACAAGAATTTACGTTTTTTTTGGGGGGGTTCGAATCTCGATTTAAGTTCGTATTGACAAGTTGTCATTTTTTTTTTGAGTGACGTCAAGAAGTTACTTACCGAAATGACAAAAGCTGAAAATGTAGATGGATGTTTGTGCCCTCGCACCATCTTTGTTGTAAAATGCCACAATAATTATCATCTTGGAATGTTGGTGATTATATCCAATGTAAACAAACCTTTAATCTGGTATCTTATCGGCAAAAAAAAAATGTATATACAAAGTTATATAAACATAAAATATATACAAACTGGGTTTTAATGGCAGTCAAGAGTAAACAGGCAAAATTGGTGTTTGTGGTTTTGTAAAAGGGGCCGTATTTTTTGGCTCATAGAAAGGTAAGTGAAAATGTAGAAATTTGACATTATGAATAATGTATACAGGGCCTTAATTTTAAAATTGTTACGTAAAAAAACATTCGTTTGTTGATGTGTTTTAGGGCGATTTTCACAAATTTGTCTTTTTACGCAGTTTTGAAATGAATTAATTTAATGGAACGCACTCTAGTGAAAACTGGAAAAAAGTTTGATATCGGGCCATATTCTACAATGGTAAAATGGGCCTAGATGTCAATACTTATTTCCACTTGAGGGTATGTAAAGGCTATTCCCTACGAAAAGTTGCAAATTGGGTCAAATTATGAATCATTGGAAAGAGCATTAGATTCTCTTTGAATCTGTGTCAAATTTGTTCCAGTAATTTATGGGCTTTCTGAGCTATTATTGGGCTTGAAACTTGATTTTTAGTCGGAATTTTCTTTAAATTCCATTTTCTCAAATATTATAAATACTAGGGATTTCAGGTAAATACCGTCTGAAAGTCCTTATCAATAGCTAGAATCCCTGAAAATTTTATTTCAGTACCACTTTTGGTTACCAAGATATTGAGCTGCAAAAAATTGAAAATTTTAATTTTTGGATTTTTCCCATTTTTGACTTCAGAAATCGATAAAGCAAGTACAAATTAGTCAGGAAAAACTCTAAAATTAATTAAATTTGAAAAATTCGATAAGTAAAAAAATCCGAAAGAAAATCTCATTTTTGGCTCTAAAATTTTTTTGAAATCTTGACACGCTCATGATTAATTGCTCATATTTTCAATTATATTTGAGTAAATTAGTAATAACTATACATCATTAGAAAGAGCATTAAATTCTCTATTAACCTGTGCAAGATTGAGTTCTGTAGCTTTTGAAGTTTCCAAGATATCGGAGTTCAAAGTTGAAACTTGGTCTGGATTTTGTCTAAAACTTCAAATTCGATTTTCTCAAAAACTATAAACGCTAGCGATTTCAACTAAATACCATCTGAAAGCCCTTATCAAGAGCTACAAACCCTGCAAAGTTGGTACCGGTACCACTTTTAGTTACCAAGATATCGAGTTTTGAAGATTTGAAAATAAAAATCCAAAGGGGTCCCTTAGGAAAAAGTGCAAAAAATTGAAAATTTTTATTTTTGAATTTTTCTCAATTTTGACTTCAGAAATCGATAGAGCGAGTTCAAGTTAGTCAGAAACGACTCTTAGATCGGTTAAATTTGAGAATTATAATGAGAGAAAAAATCCTAAAGGAAATCTCAATTTTTGTCTGTGAAAATTTTTTGAAATCTTGACACGCTCATGAATAATTGCCCATATCTTCAGTAGAATTTGAGCAAATTACTTGCAATTATGTATCATTGGAAAGAGCATTAAATTCTCTTCAAAATTGTACCATATTGGTTCCAGTACCTCAACGGGTTCATGAGCAATAGAACTTCAAAATTGGACTTTAGTCAAAATTTTGTCTAAAACTTCAAACTCGATTTTCTCAAAAACCATAAATGGTAGCGATTTCAGCCAAATACCATCTGAAAGCCCTCATCAAGAGCTACAAACCCTGGAAATTTTGTATTGGTACCACTTGTGGTTCCCAAGATATCAAGCTTTGAAGATTTGAAAATAGAAATCCAAAGGGGTTACCCTTAGAAAAAAGTGCAAAAAATTGAAAATTTTTATTTTTGAATTTTTCTCAATTCTGATTTCAGAAATCGATAGATCGAGATCAAATTAGTCAGAAACTACTCCTAGATCAGTTAGATTTGAGAATTATAATGAGAGAAAAAATCTTAAAGGAAATCTCAATTTTTATCTCTGGAAATTTTTTGAAATCTTGACACGCTCATGAATAGTTGTCCATTACTTCAATATAATTTGAGCAAATTAGCTACAATTATATATCATTGGAAAGAGCATTAAATTCTCTTCAAAACTGTGCCAGATTAGTTTCAGTACCGCAACGGGTTCATGAGCAATCGAACTTTAAAGTTGAACTTTAGTCAAAATTTTGTCTAAAATTTCAAAGTCGATTTTCTCAAAAACTATAAAAGCTAACGATTTCAGCTAAATACCATCTGAAAGCCCTTTTCAAGAGCTACAAACCCTGCAAGTTTTGTTTCGGTACCACTTTTGGTTACCAAGATATCGAGCTTTTAAGATTTACAAATAAAAATCCAAAGGGAAAAAAATGCAAAAAATTAAAAATTTTTGGATGTTCTTCAATTTCGTCTTTTTTAAGGTAATTACATCTGCTAGCAAATTGAGCAAAATTTGACAGATGTCACGTGATTTGACATATGAAAAAAGACGAGTAATCAAGTGATGTCCGGCAAAATTTGCTCTGTTTCTTCGCAGAACTCAGCCTTAATCAATAGAGTGAAATAAAAGCCCTGTATAAGGTAAATATTATTGCTAAATGAACTGATCTAACGGAAGACACTCTGCTGAAAACTGGAATAAAGTTTGATAAAGAGCCATGTTTTATAATGGTAAAAATGGCATTGATATTCATACTTATTTCCACTGGAGGGTATCTATAGGTAATTCCTTATGATAAATGTAATTTAACCCAAATTAAATTCCTAAAACTCTACTTGTATTTATTACTAATGAATACCCGGCGTGTGATTCTATGCTAAAAAAAAATAAATACATTTTATTTATTTGTTGAGAAACGCAAATTTCTAATAATTTTGACAACCTGCCCACCTCTCCATCTATCACATTTGACAGTTGACGTCTGTTCATTTGTTTCAACGTTTCCGATTCTGAAGACCGGGCAGGCATATGACACCCTTTTGTCATATTTTGACAGCTGTTGAGCATTCGAAATTGTATTATCACTCGAACTTAAAGTGTATGCAAAATTTCAGCAAACTGCGTTGCGAAGAAAATGTTTCAAAAATCTGCATTTGTCACATTTGACAGTTGACACTTGGTATTAATGATCTAAAATGTATTATCACCCGAAATTAAAGTGTATGTGTCGGATGGTTTTAAAAACTATAACAGACATATACAGGTAGACAGACAGACAGAATTTTTTTTGTGTTTTAGAATCATTTTACATACTCATTGAATGTCCAGCTGTCAAATTCAAGTTTGACAGCTGTCGAAAATTGCCTAATTTGAAAGTAACGATGAAAATGACACAAATGTTCAAATTTCGTTGGGCATTGAATTGTTTCTAAATGTCGAATTAATAAAATTTGATAGATATCAATAATGGATAAAATTCAAGTTTGACAGCTGTCGAAAAAGGTTTAATTTGTTTTTTTTTTTTCGGTGAAAATATGCGTGTTCTTGCTACGGTTCGTATCATCTCATTTTGAGATAAGCTTATCTGAATAAATCATATGGAAAACGATCTCCCGACCCCAAAAACCCTGAAAAAAAATTGACACTGATATATTATGTCAAAAAATGACGGCCTGACAAGGTCAAACGTCAAATTTCGAGAGTGCCTTCGAATAAAACTTGGGCGCGTTCTTTTATTCAGCAATGGATCCATCTGCTGCCAGCATTATAGACATTCCAATTTTCTATGAGCTAGACAAAGAAAGGCTGATTACCGATGTAAATGACACAAATTTCAAACTACTTTGGCATTAAATTGATTCTAAATGTCAAATTAGTAAAATTTGATACATGTCAATGGTTTTACATGTTTATTGGATAAAATTCAAGTTCGACATCAGCTGTCAAAAAGGGCCTAATTTGACAGCGACGTTTTTTTTTTTTTTTTGAAAAAAGTGACACGAATTGGACATTGTCTGAGAGGTATTGGTTGCCTGATAACTTTTGTGACGTTATCTAGGGTGTTTCAAGTTTCAACATAATCCAAAAATCTTGTGTTTTTTGGAATTTTTTAGATTTTTTTGGAATTTTACATACGGCACAGTTAGAGTACTCGAAACAGATACAGTGTTTGTGCTTGTACCACTAATTCCAAAAAATCCCAAATTAAGCTCCAAAAAATTCGATTTTGACATTTTTTGGAATTCTTTGGAATTCTATGGAATTTTTTGGAATTTTTTAAAAAAAAATTGAAAATCTTTGTGGAATTTTTTGGAATTAGTGGTAAGAGCACTCTTTATCTGCTCCGCACACTCTTACTGTTCCGAGAACCTTATCTGTTCTGAACATTCTAACTGTTCCGAACACTGTAAGATTGCTCCATTTGTGTCAGTGTTGTGCCCAACATAAGGTTAAGGTAGGTACCTTCAAATTTTTTTTGGTCGAGATTTTGTATCCTAATGGTCAATCAACATACCCCAAACTCCATACACTAAATTATTCTCAGATTTAAAGCTGAAATCTATGAAAAAAGGCACTCAGAAAAATTGATAAATCACCCCAAATTGCTTAACACGATTTTATCTCAGGAACTATAAGTGCCAATGAGCTGAAATTTTCAGGGATTGTAGCCCTTTGTAAGAGATAAAATTTAGTGAAAGTTTCAGCTTTCTATCTATAATAGAAAAAAAGTTATGACCTTTCAAAGTTTTCCAAAATCTAAATCATAAGGTAGGTACCTTCTTACTAAAACGATGAAATTTCAAAATTTTTTTTGTCGAGATTTTGTATCCTAATGGTCAATCAACATACCCCAAACTCCATACACTAAATTATTCTCAGATTTAAAGCCGAAATCTATGAAAAAAGGCACTCAGAAAAATTGATAAATCACCCCAAATTGCTTAACACGATTTTATCTCAGGAACTATAAGTGCCAATGAGCTGAAATTTTCAGGGATTGTAGCCCTTTGTAAGAGATAAAATTCAGTGAAAGTTTCAGCTTTCTATCTATAATAGAAAAAAAGTTATGACTTTTCAAAGTTTTCCAAAATCTAAATCATAAGGTAACCTTCTTACTAAAACGATGAAATTTCAAATTTTTTTTTGTCGAGATTTTGTATCCTAATGGTCAATCAACATACCCCAAACTCCATACACTAAATTATTCTCAGATTTGAAGCCTAAATCTATGAAAAAAGGCACTCAGAAAAATTGAAAAATTGATAAATCACCCCAAATTGCTTAACACGATTTTATCTCAGGAACTATAAGTGCCAATGAGCTGAAATTTTCAGGGATTGTAGCCCTTTGTAAGAGATAAAATTTAGTGAAAGTTTCAGCTTTCTATCTATAATAGAAAAAAAGTTATGACCTTTCAAAGTTTTCCAAAATCTAAATCATAAGGTAGGTACCTTCTTACTAAAACGATGAAATTTCAAAATTTTTTTTGTCGAGATTTTGTATCCTAATGGTCAATCAACATACCCCAAACTCCATACACTAAATTATTCTCAGATTTAAAGCCGAAATCTATGAAAAAAGGCACTCAGAAAAATTGATAAATCACCCCAAATTGCTTAACACGATTTTATCTCAGGAACTATAAGTGCCAATGAGCTGAAATTTTCAGGGATTGTAGCCCTTTGTAAGAGATAAAATTCAGTGAAAGTTTCAGCTTTCTATCTATAATAGAAAAAAAGTTATGACCTTTGAAAGTTTTCCAAAATCTAAATCATAAGGTAGGTACCTTCTTACTAAAACGATGAAATTTCAAATTTTTTTTTGTCGAGATTTTGTATCCTAATGGTCAATCAACATACCCCAAACTCCATACACTAAATTATTCTCAGATTTAAAGCTGAAATCTATGAAAAAAGGCACTCAGAAAAATTGAAAAATTGATAAATCACCCCAAATTGCTTAACACGATTTTATCTCAGGAACTATAAGTGCCAATGAGCTGAAATTTTCAGGGATTGTAGCCCTTTGTAAGAGATAAAATTCAGTGAAAGTTTCAGCTTTCTATCTATAATAGAAAAAAAGTTATGACCTTTCAAAGTTTTCCAAAATCTAAATCACCCCAAATTGCTTAACACCATTTTATCTCCAATGAGGGATAAAAACGCAGTTGAAATTTTAAATTAAACATTTTCCAAAATCTATGAAAAATTCTCAAAGAGTTCAACATCAACTTCTGTCAAACTGTTCTCAGAATATGGCGGGTATATTCAAGTTTGACAGCTGTTAAAAATTGTCCAATTGTCGAAATTACACGAACTTCGAAATATAATGAACATAAGTGTCAAATCATTTGACAAATGACAATTATTTCACAAAAGATATCACGTGACGTCCGGCTAAATTTACTCTTTTTGCTCGCAGATGCAATTACCGAACTCAGCTTCAGTCGATAGAGTGAAATGAAAGCCCGCTATATAAGGTAAGTGTAAATATTATTGCTAAATAAACTACTGATCTAACTGAAGGCACTCTACTGAAAACTGGAAAAAAGTTTGACAACGACCTATGTTTTTCAATGGTAAAAATGGCATATATATATCAATACTTACTTCCACTTGAGGGTATGTAAAATCGATTCCCTATGAAAAATCATTCAATTATTAAATTCGAGTTTGACATCTGTCGGAAATCGCTTAATTTAAGGGCGAGTTCTCATGAGCGTAAGTTGACATTTCTGTCGCAATTACGTGATAAGATGGTTGGGTTTTAGTGGTAAAACATTCGCCATGCTGGATATTCTACCAATCAAATTACTCTATATTATCACTTGATTACGGAAGAAATGTCAACTTACGCCCTAAAAGTGACGATGAAAATGACACAAATCTTGAACTTCATCGGGCATTAAATTGATTCTAAATGTCAAATTAATAAAATTTGGTAGTTGTCAATGGTTTTACTTTACATGTTTATTGGATAAAATTCAAGTTTGACAGGTCTAATTTGACACACAATGGACACTAAATTGTTTTTCCAAAGAGCTCAATATCAACTTCCTCAAATTGAAATTCTCAAAAAATTGTTTCAATTTGACAGATTTGTCAAAATTTTCTCAGAAAATATGATGGGTTTTTATACAGACCTATAACATAAGGTTATTTTGTAGCGTTTAGGGGTGGGTATTATTCACTTCTGGAATGACGTCACTTTTCATAGTAATTCCAGAAGTAAACTTTTAGTTATCTGTCAAAATAGTTTTATAATACAACCACATAACATGACATAAGAAATAATATTCGACCAATCAGCTGCAAGAGAATGATCACGTGTTTTCTGTCACTCAAACTTAATGTCAAAGTCAAATTCTCAATGGAACATGCACAAATTCCATTTTCACATGAAATAAACTCAACTTTCTTATGTCTTACGTTATGTTAGGTGTTTGTGTAAACCCACCATTAGAATTTTCGAGCCACTCCACACCTTCCTAAAACAATTAATTTACAAAATATAGTTGAACTTCTTAAGCAACTCTAATGGAAATCCTTGATTTCAAATAAACCTATTTTTGAGAATCTGCTCTCGTTGGCATTAGAACACCTAAAACATCTTGAAATAATGACATTTTATTAGAAAAAGTAAACTGACCTAATGGAACGTAGTCTACTGAAAACTGGAAAAAAGTTTGATAACGGGCTATATTCTATAATGGTAAAAAGGGCATAGATATCAATATTTATTGCCACTTGATGGTATGTAAAGGTAATTCCATATGAAAAATTTAATTAAATTCCAGAAATTTTTGAGTTAAAATAAAACTTTATTTTTATTGGTTTTCTTGTTGAAATAAGAAATTCCTTCATAAATTCCTCCAAAACTTTAACATTTTCGCAAGAACCAGCCTTAAAAGCCTACCACCAACCATTTTAGGGAAGCCCTAACGATAAGTATTCCTTAAAATGACATTTTTACATGGGAAAATGTCAGGCTTCCTTAAAATGATTGGTGGAAACGGGCATAAATAAGGCAATTTTTGATAGATGTCAAAATTAAATTTGATAGTTGAACGTCCAATAAACATGTAAAGTAACCGAAATCTGTCAAATGTTACTAATTTGCTACTTATGACATAATTTAATATTCATTTTAGGTTAAAATTTGTTGCTCTTAGGGCATATATAGACATTTAGTTTAGAATGGACATTTGTTACTAAATTGACAAGTTTATCAAGTAAATTCTAAATGTCCAAGGTCCGACTATAAATTTAATCCCTAAACAAGACAAACAATTCAAAGTCCAATGAACTTTAAAATAATTGACTACCTTAATCTGTCATCAATCAATATACAGACAAAACCTGATAACAATATTAATTCAATAATTACATCAAAAATTCACATTCTAATTAGTACACAGTTGCCATATCCATTTAAAAATCCTAGCAACATTAATTCAAAACAGCATTAAATTTGAACGAAATTAATTTCCAGCAGAGTCTAATGCACAACAATGCCGTATCTCGGTAGCGGCGGTTTCGAGGCTTATATCTAATCCGCGGAAACGTAAATAATACAACGTCTTTTCGATTAAATAAGTTTTACTTTAGTGTGGGAACTCGAACAGACAAAAATGTCCAATAATAATAGGAATTTCGGTGCAGGACCTGGCAAAATACCAGACGAAGTAAGTACATATATGTACAGTGTGTCCACTCAAGTACACTTTGTACATGCTATTTCAAGTTTCCCATATGCTGTTAATTTAAGTGAACAAAATTGTCTGATCCCATAACTTATTTCAGGTGCTTAAAGAGGCCCAACTGGAATTCTTGTCCTATCAAAACATCGGATTTAGCGTGACGGAATTAAGTCACCGTTCCGAGGCGTATGCCAAAATAAATCAGGAAGCGCAAGATGATTTACGAGAACTACTGTAAAGGATTAAAACTTTGTCCTAAAATAAATAATTAATTTCTAATTACAGAAATGTACCATCGAATTATAAAATCTTGTTTCTACACGGAGGTGGACAAGGTTTGTTTTCGGCTGTTGCAATGAATTTAATTGGGGAAAATGGTACTGCAAATTACGCTGTTGCCGGTATTTGGTCAAAAATCGCTGCAAATGAAGCAAAAAAGTATGGTAGAATTGATTTAGTTTTCCCTGAGCCTGATTCTGGTACAATTCCTGCCATAAACGATTGGACTATAAACCCTAAAGCCTCATATTTGTACTATTGTGACAATGAAACAATTCAAGGGATTGAATTTCCTTTTGTGCCTGATTCCAAAGAAGTACCATTAGTAGCTGACATGTCTTCAAATTTGTTAACTAGGAAATTTGACGTTTCCAAAGTCAGTTATTAAATAACTTATATATTTGTATAAACTGTTTGTTTTTTAGTTTGGAGTCATTATTGCAGCAGTTCAAAAAAACCTAGGAACTGCAGGTTTGGGAATTGTCATAATCAAAGACACCCTTTTAGATAAGGCCCTTAACATTTGCCCTTCAATATTGAACTTCAAATTAATCAACGAGTATGAATCTATTTTAAATACTCCACCTATATTTTCGTAAGTAATAATTTATTGCATATAAAACTAATACATTCATAGAATTTACATGTTTGGCAAAGTACTAAAATGGATCAAAAATCAAGGAGGCTTAGACAAGATGGAACAATTATCCATACAAAAAAGCCAATTATTGTACAACACACTTAAACAATCAAATGGTTTTTATCACAACAACATCCCAGAACAAAATCGCAGCAGGATTAATGTACCTTTCAGGATTAATAAGGGCGATGTTGATATGGAAAATAAATTCCTAAAAGAAGCCGAAGAAAGGAAATTGTTCCAATTAAAAGGGCACAAATTGGTGGGGGGCATTAGAGTTTCCATGAACAACGCCGTAACTTGTGAAGATGTTCAAGTTTTGGTTGAATTTATGAAGGAATTTCAACAAGAAAACCAATAAGTTTTTCATAAGGAATTGCCTTTACATACCCTCAAATGGAAATAAATATTGATATCTATGCCATTTTTACTATTGTAGAATATTGACAATTGTCGAACTTTTTTCCACTTTTCAGTAAACTATGTTCCATTAGATCAGTTTACTTTTTCTAATAAAACGTTATTATTTCAAGATTTTTTTGGGTTTTTATTGTTCTAATGCCAACGCGTGCAGATTCTCAAAAATTATTTTATTTGATATCTGAAAGATTTCCATAAGAGTTTCTTCAAAAGTTCAACTATATTTTGTAAATTAACTGTTTTAGGATCTGTGACGTGGCCCGAAGATTCTAATGGTGGGTTTACACAAACACCTAACATAACGTAAGACATAAGAAAGTTGAGTTTATTTTATGTGAAAATGGAATTTGACTTTGACATGACTCAATTTGAGTGACAGAAAACACGTGATCATTCTCTTGCAGCTGATTGGTTGAATATTATTTCCTATGTTATGTTATGTGTCTGTATTATAAAACTATTTTGACAGATAACTAAAAGTTTATTTCTGGAATTACTATGAAAAGTGACGTCATTCCATACCCACCCTAAACGCTACAAAATAACCTTATATTATGGTATTTTATAGGTCTGTATAAAAAACCCACCACATTTTCTGAGAAAATTTTGACAAATCTGTCAAATTAAAACAATTTTTTGAGAATCTTAATTTGAAGAAGTTAATATTGAGCTCTTTGGGAAAACAATTTAGTATCCAATGTGTATCATTTTAGTCAAATTAGACCTTTTTCAACAGCTGTCAAACTTGAATTTTATCCAATATTGACATCTATCAAATTTTATTAATTTGACATTTAGAATCAATTTAATGCCTGACGAAGTTCAAGATTATTTGTATCATTTTCATAGTCACTTTTAGGGCGTAAGTTGACATTTCTCGCGTAATCACGTCATAATAATAATATGGTGTAATTTGATTGGTAGTATATCTGTCGGACGTCACGCGATCACTTATCTTTTTTTACTTGTCAAATCACTTGACATCTATCAAATTTTGCTCAATTTGAAAGTGAAGTTTGTTACGGGCTTACGTCATATTTTACTCAATGCGATTTCGAGTTTTTCATCACAGAACTTTGTATTACCGGCCCAACGTTATCATGTCAGGCCTTTTGGTATGAAAAAATATTACAGAGCTTTGTATTACCGGCCCAATGTTGTCATGTCAGGCTTTTTGGTATGAAAAAATATTACAGAGTTCTGTATTACCGGCCAAATGTTGGCAGGCCTTAAATATTGCAGAGTTCTATTTTATCGGTTTCAATTTGGAATTGACGTAAATGACACTGATGACATTCCAAAGCCTACTTGATTGAACTAGCGGTGTTGCCACATGATGAAATTCAATTTTTAGAATTCCTCATCTCTTGATTAGCTTATTAAATAAATTTGAAAGCCAATCAGGAGCCGGGAATAATCAAAATTTGAATTTCATTGAGTATTTTTTCATCGTAAAATTCTCGGCTTTTGATTGGCCCATTGTTGGGAATAAAAAAGGTCTTAGATAAAATGTCGTACACTACGCCTACTCAATGCGATTTCGAGTTTTTCATTACAGAGCTCTGTATTACCGGCTTAATGTTGTCATGTCAGACCTTTTTGTATGAAAAAATATTACAGAGTTCTGCATTACCGGCCCAATGTTCTCAGGCCTTTAAGGATACGAAAATATTGCAGTATTGTGTTTTATCGGCTTCAATTTTAATATTGACGTAAATGACACTGATGACATTTCAAGACTTACTTGATCTAGTAAGCTGTGTTGCCACATGATAAAATTCAATTTTTGAAAATTTCCATTTTTTGATTGGCTTATTAAATAAATTTAAAAGCCAATCAAGAGCCGGGAATATTCAAAATTTTACTCTTAAAATCAATAATTGGATATTTTTTCAGCTTAAAATTCTCGGCTTTTGATTGACCCACTGTTCAAAAAAAAAAAAAAAGGTCGTAGATAAAATGTCATACGTTACCTCTACTCAATGCAATTTCGAGTTTTTCATTACAGAGCTCTGTATTACCGGCCCAATGTTGTCATGTCAGGCCTTTTTGTATGAAAAAATATTACAGAGTTCTGTATTACCGGCGCAATGTTGTCGGGCTTTAAATATTACAGAGTTCTGTTTTATTGGCTTCAATTTGAAATTGACGTAAATGAAACTTAAGATTTTCCAAGGCCTACTCGATTTAGTTAGCGGTGTTGCCACATAATAAAATAACCTCAAAATTCAATTTTTGGTAATTCCTGTTTCTTGATTGGTTTATTAAATGAATTTGAAAGCCAATTTTTGTATTATTGGCCCAATGTTGTCATGTCAGGCCATGAAAAAATATTACAGAGTTCTGTATTACTGGCCTAATGTTGTCAGGCCTTTAGGGGTACGAAAATATGGCAGAGTTCTGTTTTATCGGCTTCAATTTGAAACTGACGTAAACGATACTGACGACATTCCAAGGTCTACTCGATTGAGCTAGCGGTGTTGCTACATGACAAAATTCAATCTTCAGAAACTCCCATTTTTAATCAATCAATCAATCAAGAGCCAGGAATAATCAAAATTTGAATTTTAAAACCAATCAAGAGCTGGGAAGCGACGTTGCCAAATGATAAAAATAACCTCGAAAAATAAGAAAAAAAACTCCATTTTAAATGGGAGTTTGCCCCCAAATTAAGCAAAAACTCCCTAAAAATAATTCTAAAAACGTAAATTTCCCAAAAAAAATGCTTGGAAAACTTGTTTTTCTAATAAAACTTCCCCAAAAACTGGCAATTTCTGGTACAAAACGAAAAAAATCCAAAGTTCGGCACCTAAAAAACCCCATATTCCACTTAAAAAGTTTCGGAAAAATGAAAAATTCGAGATAAAAACACTCAAAATGGCCGACTGTCAAATGTCAAGCTTAATAAATTACATTCCAAGGCCTACTTGATTGGAATTCGAGTGAAGTTGGCTACAAAACGATGTTGCAACCTGAAAAAAAAAAAATCATTTCAAATGGATTTTTTAATGAAAAAGGATTATTAAAGCTGGAAATTTTTGGTTGAAAATGAAGAAAACCCAAAGCCTCGTATTTTAAATCGATTTTCCCTTTTCCCGATTGAAAATGCCCTGGAAAAGCCGAAAATCCAAAGAAAAACCTCGAAAAATTACATTCCAAAGCCTACTTGTTAAAACTAAAGTAAAAAAACTGGAATTTTTTTGCGAAAAATAAAGAAAACTCAAAACCTCGTGGTTTAAACCAGTTTTCCCGACTGAAAACGGCCTGAAAAAGCGGAAAATTCGAGGAAAAACCGGGATAAAACCACTCAAAAATGGCCGACAGTCAAAACTAGCAAATGACATTCCATTACAAAGCGACGTTGCCATATTTCAAATAGGAAAAAATTACATTCTAAATGGTTTTTTGTATCTAATTTAGTTAAATAATTAATTAACAATGTTTATCGAATGATAAATTTCCTAAAATAATGCATTGGAAACTGATTTTTAACAAAATTTAATGAAAATAACATTCCAATGCCTGGTTGGCAGTGAGTAAGACAAAGAAGGAAATAAAGTAGGAAACAATTTAAGTTTTTGTTAAAAAAAAATCATGTAAATTAAAAGTCCCGCACTTAAAACTTTCTTGTTGAAAAAAACCCTGGAAAAATGGAAAATCCAAAGATAAAGCCTACTTGATAAAACTAAAGTTTTGGTCACTTACCCCATTAGAAAACTGGAAATTTTTGGCACAAAATATAGGAAATTCAAAGCGTCGTATTTCAAATTGGTTTTCCCGACTGAAAATGGCATGGAAAAGCGATGACGTCACTGGGAGACCTATTGGATGAAAAATCAATCGAGCTCCACCTTTTGTGTATTCACTTAAAAACTACTGGAGGCAAAAACATGAAATTTTGAGGGAATATTTTTGAGTTATGCCTCTACGTACATTTTAGCTATTAACACAAACGTCAAAAAATTCAACAAACAAAGTAGGCCTTGTAATTATTTTTGACAGTCGATACAAAATGGCGCCTTTTTGTTTCGAGGACTGCGAGCCCGAAGGGCCGGAGTATTTATAATTTCGAGCCCGTAGGGCAAGAGCATTTTTGATTGCGAGCCCGAAGGGCCGGAGTTTTCATAGTTTTTCGCCTTATGAATTCGAAATCTAAAAAACTCCCGCCCAACTTTGAAGTGGCGTAGCTGCAAAACTATAGAAGCTGCATTAAAACTTCAAAATAGTGATTTGTAGAGGATTTAATTGGCTTCAATTGAACCTCAATTACGTTAAAATCGGTTGACAATTGACGCAGTTATGAGCCAAAATATGAAGTGATGTCAAAAAACCAAGTAGGCCTTGTAATTTTTTTGTGCGGAAGCTTTAAAGCTTTGTAGCTGTCAAACTATCGAAGCTGCAACGAAACTTCAAATTAGTGATTTGTAGAGGATTCAGTTGAAGCCTTATTACGTCAAAATTCGATTGAAATTGACAAAGTTATGAGGCAAAATGTCAAATCTAATTCACAAGTGTACTGGGTTTTAAAATTGCAGCAACCTTGGCGCACAAACGTCAAAAAGTTTGACGTCTCGAGTAGGCTTTGTCATTATTTTTGATAGTCGATACCAAATGACGTCATTATCAAGGATTGTTACTAGACAAAATTTCAAAGCAACCAATACAATTTTCCATGGCCACCTATGATACAAGATGATGACGTCACTGGGAGATCTATTGGATGGGAAATCAATCGAGCTTCACGTTTTGTGCATTTACTCAAAAACTATTGGAGGCAAAAACATGAAATTTTGAGGGAATATTTTTGAGTCTTTGAGGCAAAACATATCAAAAATTCAAATCAATTGAACCAAAAATAACAAAGTTACAAGATTTCTGAAAATTGACATTTTTTCTATAAGGCTAAATATGACATGCCTTTACGTTGAGATGTCAATTTTTCCAAAATTCACTGAATTGAGTTTTAAAATTAAAGCCCTGTATAATGTAAATAAATAATATTGATAAATAAACTCGTCAAATGGAGCGCACTCTACTGAAAACTGGAAAAAAATTTGATAACAAGCCATGTTTTACAACGGTAAAAACAATATTGCTATCAATACTTTTTTTCCACTTGAGGGTATGTAAGGGCAATTCCTTATGAAAAATTTAATCCAATCCAAATCAAAACTCTATTTTTATTTATTGTTGTTAAGCATATTCATTGGACGTCTAGTGATCAAATTCAAGTTTGAAAGCTGTTGGGACATTAGTAACATTTGACAAATGACAATTATTTCACAGGCTCATTAGACATTTAATTATTAAATTGAAGTTTGACAGCTGTCGAAAATTGCCTAATTTAAAAGTGACGGTTTTTTTTTCCATGAAAATGATACATATTTCAAATTTCGAAAGATATTTCAAAAACCTAGTGGTACCAAATGGCAAATAGTTGTGATGAACTTTACTGGTAGGTACTTGATCAATGCGTACCTGTCAAAAAATGTTATCAGATGTCTGATATCAATGCATTTCAAATGGGAAAGTTCATCAAGTACCAATAATAGATTTCAGCTGAACAACTATTTGGTACAACTGGGCTCAAGTGTCAAATCAATAAAATTTGACAGATGTCAATTATTTCAGAGACTCATATTGGATATCCAACTATCAAATTTAACTTTGACAGCTGACGAAAATGAGCTCAACTTTGGTGGTTTTACACAAAAAAAGACCGATTCACAAGTTAATTCGTTTACCGACAGAAAACCCATACTATTTACCACAAGGAGTAAATCACCATCCCAGAATTGGTGCAAACAATTCCTCAAAGGGGAATTTTTTACGCATAATTCCTCAAAATTCCTGCAAATTCCCCATTCTAGGTACCCCATCATCACAAATTCCTTCAAATACCCCACCACGAAATTTCTCTAAAAAAAGGGAAAATTTTGAAACTTTTTGCATGTAAAGAGAAAGGTGAGAAGCTCATTTTCCCAAAGTTTCAAATTTTTTCAGTTGAAAATTACAACAGGAGGAATCTTGGAAATCAACCTACAATAACTGAATTAATTGAAAATACAGTCTCACACATTTCAAAGTTTTCTTGGAAAACTAGTGAAGGGAAAATTTTGAAACTTTTTGCATGTAAAGAGAAAGGTTAGAAGCTCATTTTTCCAAAATTTCAAATTTTTCCAGTGGAAAACAGCAACATGGAAAATCTTGGAAATCAACCTACAAAAACTGAATTAGTTGAAATTACAGTCTCACACATTTCAAAGTTTTCCTAGAAAATTAGTGAAAGGAAATTTTTGAAAATTTTTGCATGTAAAGAGGAAGGTGAAAAGCTTATTTTCCCAAAATTTTAAAATTTTTCCAGTGGAAAACAGCAACATGAAAAATCTTGGAAATCAACCTACAAAAATTGAATTAATTGAAAATACAGTCTCACACATTTCAAAGTTTTCCTGGAAAACCAGTGAAGGGAAAATTTTGAAACTTTTTGCATGTAAAGAGGAAGGTGAGAAGCTCATTTTCCCAAAATTTCAAATTTTTCCAGTAGAGAATTACAACATGAGGAATCTTGGAAATCAACCTACAATAACTGAATTAATTGAAAATACAGTCTCACACATTTCAAAGTTTTCTTGGAAAACTAGTGAAGGGAAAATTTTGAAACTTTTTGCATGTAAAGAGAAAGGTTAGAAGCTCATTTTTCCAAAATTTCAAATTTTTCCAGCGGAAAACAGCAACATGAAAAATCTTGGAAATCAACCTACAAAAACTGAATTAGTTGAAATTACAGTCTTACACATTTCAAAGTTTTCCTAGAAAATTAGTGAAAGGAAATTTTTGAAAATTTTTGCATGTAAAGAGGAAGGTGAAAAGCTCATTTTCCCAAAATTTTAAAATTTTTCCAGTGGAAAACAGCAACATGAAAAATCTTGGAAATCAACCTACAAAAATTGAATTAATTGAAAATACAGTCTCACACATATCAAAGTTTTCCTGGAAAACCAGTGAAGGGAAAATTTTGAAACTTTTTGCATGTAAAGAGGAAGGTGAGAAGCTCATTTTCCCAAAATTTCAAATTTTTCCAGTAGAGAATTACAACATGAGGAATCTTGAAGATCAACCTACAATAACTGAATTAATTGAAAATACAGTCTCACACATTTCAAAGTTTTCCTGGAAACTAGTGAAGGGAAAATTTTGGAACCTCTTTGCATGTAAAGAGGAAGCTGAGAAGCTTATTTTCTCAAAATTTCAAAATTTTCCATTGGAAAATAGCAACATGAAAAAAACTGAATTAGTTGAAAATATAGTCTCACACATTTCAAAATTTTCCTGGAAAACTAGTGAGGGGAAAATTTTGAAACTTTTTGCATGTAAAGAGGAAGGTGAGAAGCTCATTTTCCCAAAATTTCAAATTTTTCCAGTGGAAAACAGCAACATGGGAAATCTTGAAAATCAACCTACAAAAACTGAAT